ATATATATATATATATATATATATTATGTGTAAGCAATAATTTTATACTCAATAAGGTTTATGTGTCATGTATTTGCATCCTTGTTTAATTTACGCAGATAATGGCAATCAATTTTGTCACACGTACAACGATGCACGCACTATGAGCAGGGTTCGGTGATCTCAATCACACATGTCTGCATATATGTATCTGTACTTAAATTCATATATGGATTCATATTTGTTCACATTGGTATACGTGTACAAAGAGATGCTGTTGTAAATATAAATATGAACCTTACTATTCAAAGTACCTAAATCTTAATAAAATCACTGATCTACATGATGGTAAATGCACACGCAGAAGACCAACACTTCACACTTTCAGTCAAGAACGTCTGTTCCAACCCCAAACAATATTGGGGTGAACAGCCATATATCCAGCGTACCCAATGTACACATAAGAACTCGCATTCAAATACAAATTTGTCCCAGCTTGTTATAGAGTCCAAGATCGTTTATTTAGATTGCGTTGTCTCTATCAGGGTCTACGTCTAAACATTCCCTGTCGAGGGTACCCTAGTGCACCGCAAGCAATCGAGATACATTATCAGACCTCAATTAGCTCGGTTAGACGATTAGGTGTTGTCAGACGCCCAGGACTTCCAATCAGGTGAATCTACTATACTATACGAATTCTATCCGCACACAAGTGCCTTACATTACATACTAGTATGAGTATATGCATACCAGTCATGGTCCCTCGCACTCCACTATCCGCTACCGTTGCTAAGCAACAGACCTTGATATCATTCAGGCGTCCAGAGCACTATTGTCGCGCACAAAGAGGTACACCGCCGAACTGTTGCCCTTTATCACCGGTTGCTGATTGTACAGATACAACGAGTCGAGCGTCAAGCTATTATCCACATTCGGGTGCGAGCACTTGCGCGCTTCTCCTATAAAGAAGTTAGCAAGGTACTGCACAGACATGATGCTCTCCATGGTACGGTCAACAAACATGGAATGCGGAGACCAACTGAATTGCACGCCTTCAGGGTGCCATTGCAATCCGTAGAAGGGGTAGTCGTAAGCTTCTACAGTAGATACAAACGGCCTTCCCTTGAGATCGTGATTTGTGCTTACAACTCGATAGAACTCGTTCAAATGTTCATTCTTAGCGTAGTTCTCCATGGTGATGCCATCGTAGTGGAAGTTCGCAGTGGACGGGGTGTTGTAGAAGTGGTCGGTGACCAGTTTGGGAGCGTTTTGGCCCAAAAGACGACTGTCCTGGGTCTCCTCCGTACGTTCGAGCTGGAATAGCACTCCATGTGAATCATACACTCCGTGTTCAAGCACGCTGTAGTCTTGCGATTGCAACACGGTAAGCAATTGGAAGCCCATGCAGATACCCAGGATAGGGAAGTGAATACCAGCATCGTTAGCTTCTTTTGCTCGTTTGAACAGAATATTAGCTGTCTTGTAGTACTGCGAATCGTACTCGAGACTGGCATCACCTCCAGGGAAGTATACACCGTGCATTTGATCGAACAATTGGTGTACTTCTGCTTCAGGTATGTTATAGGGAATGCCAATTACCCTCGCACCTGCTGCTTCGAGGTATTTGTAGGCCCAAACATCTACCCCAGACTGGGGTGATTGTTCACAACCATGGTTAAACCCGGCTTTCTTGGGGTCTAAGGAGATACAGTAGGGTTCGGCTAATACTCCTATGACTGGGCCGTTGAACCGATCCACACCATCGGGGAGGTTAGTATTTACTTGTTGCAAAGAAACGCTATTGACGCTGCTTACAAGGCACACGGCCACTGTGATGATTGAGTACAACATCGTAGAAGGTTCACTATGAATCACTATGTGAAAACTGTTTGTGCGACACTTGTGTGTGATCAGCGACAGCGTCTGAAATATACTTTCCGTGAGCTGTTGCGGTGTAATTGTATACACGTAAGCACACAGCGCTTATATATTTCAATACACAACTACTGAAAACTACTAAATTGAACTACTTACAAATACCTGTGCTCACAAGAGAAGTCAGAAGTTATTGACACTCTGCCAGATGTCCCACATTCTTGACAGCTGACACAACGTGGTATCGCACCCACAGGAATGTGAACGTTCAAACGGTTTTTTGTTGTCAAACCGTTTCCAGTTCGACACTGTATTTACACTGTACCTTTCAGATGCCGATGCTGTCGGATAACGTATATTTTGTATTTGCAAACGTATTCTGTTTTGGAGCTGACATGACGGCGACACCTGACGACGGCTAAAAGACGGTGGGATACGAGATAGCGCTTCTCATGACTCATGAATGAGTCATGATTTAGATGTCACTATGCTAAAGAAAGGGTCGTATTTATAGTGCTAGTAGAGACTAGAGAATTATGAGTCGGACATTTTAGATCAAAGGGCTCAATGGAGAAGGAGAGGCTGGTCTATATGTATGAGTGACTGACTCTATAGAGTCTCTGACTAGAGTCTTTGTAAACGTAAATATGTATTGAGAAATACACAAATAATAAATAAATTCTGTGGAATCCGTGATGAAGTTGACATTTTAAATATCAGACAAATTGGACATCCTGTCCTCTACCCATTCGGGCCATACCCAGTGCCTACTGCTCACTCTGGACTCGGAGTCTGGAGTCTGGAGTTTGGGCTCTGGATTCTGGGAGGTTGAAGTTTGGAGTTTGGACTGCCCACTTTTCCTGCCCTCTGCGCTCTACGCTCTGGCCTCTGCCCTTTGCTGGTCTTCTCTCCCTCTGATAAATCTTTTCTGCTTGTTTCGTGCGAGACACACACAAGCTATTCCCAAGGCTGAGATGCTGAGATTTAAGGCCTTGAAAATTTGTGAGGTTTCACAACTTTTAGGGTTGTTGGGTTCGAAGGTGACACATTTTTAGAAAGTTTTCTCAGGAATTCAGTTTGCACTGGGCACATTGCACTATGCCGCAGACTACGGTTTACAGACCTCTTTATTATGCATATTTGTAAATTGTTGCAGATCCGCTGCATTAGCATAGCCTGCAACCTGCACTGCACCACCTGTACATTTCTCTGACTCTGAAGAGATTAAATATAGAGGATATGACCTACGCCAACCTTTAGTATTCGTTTTTATTGTTAAAAAGCTTGACTGTAGCCTCAACATAGGAACGTGTATAAAACCATGAAGCTAAATTTCTCTTATCTACTTCTCATCGCAGCCGTGTATGTTATGGGCGTACCTGTAGCTGAAGAACAATCAGCCGAGGAGGCTGCACTCTTGAAGGTATGACTTTGTATTGAACGAATGAGCAACACAGGATTTTTGCCTCCCTCATGTGCACCCTCTCGTACAGTGTAATTGAACGATGCTAAATCGATTATTCGGCAAGGACCCGACAATATATTGCAATATGTTATTTTAAAATCCATAGCCTTCTAAATCAAATAAGGCTATGAAATACTATGTTTTGTATACTCCTAAATTAAATTTACGGTACATACAAAAGTGCTGCTGCTCACCCACCGAAAACGTCCCCCAATCTGAGGGCACAATTCCACAACCTGACGAAAGTGAGGAGTGCTCTAATTTTATAGACATGTGTGAGAGTGTACCATGCCCATGCATTGAGGGAAGAAGCTGGAAAATTCATGTTTGGTCCAATACCATTTCCGAAGACAACGAGGAATAAGTTAAAGTGCAGAAAGAATTGAACGTATTTAAGAGTTGTGGGCTTATAGGTGCAGAACTTTAAAGATAGGATATTCGACACAAATCTTGATGATCAATAAAGAATGCTGTTTTGGATTTGACTATATATAAATATTTATATGTATATATATATGTGTGTGTGTGTGTGTGTATGTGTGTGTATGTTGTGTGTGTGTGTGCGTACATGTATATTTATATATATATATATTAAGATATATATATGTATATATATATATATATATATATATATATATATATCTTTATATATATATATATATATATGTATATATATATATGTGTGTGTGTGTGTGTATGTGTGTGTATGTTGTGTGTGTGTGTGCGTACATGTATATTTATATATATATATATTAAGATATATATATGTATATATATATATATATATATATCTTTATATATATATATATATATATGTATATAAATATATATATATATATATATATATCTTTATATATATATATATATCTTTATATATATAACACATGAACAATAGAGGCGGCCGTTGTAAATTTGATAGTAATAGTATGTATTTGTTTGTATGTATATGTATGTATGTAAATATATATCTATATCTATATCTATGTATATGTATTACAATATATATATATATATATATATATGTATGTATGTATGTATGTATATATATATATATACATATATAATCTATATAAGATTGTATATTATATATAAAATTGTATTATATATATCATATTATATATATATAACCTGTTTTTTATACATAGTATTTAATGCAAACTATATATATATATATATATATATGTATGTATATACCATATATGTGTATACATATATGTATGTATATATATATATGTGTGTGTATATATATATAGTAGGTGTGTGTGTGTATACATATATATATATATATATACGTATTACAACGTCCTTCCGTACTAAT